TAGACCATTTAAATCAACACATACTAGACTTTTCTTTTTCCTTTGTCAGAGTTCTCTGGAGGTCATAGTGTCTTAAACTAACTATCCTTCTCTGGTATCAACTGTCCATGGGATTTTTATTCCAGTTGACACACCATGGTAACTCCAGAGATTATAGTAAATTTAATGTTAAGATAGAAAGAATAGCTAATATCATAAGATTCTTTAAGAAAAGACCTAGACGTATTTTTCTTTGTATGCTCATCATGTTGAACACAATCTCCCCTGTAGTAGGAAAAGGTAAGAGCTAAAATTCAAGGCATACCTGCTGTACCAGACACTATAAACAGCAGACACTAGTAAACAGCAGCAGAGCTGTACTTTGAATTCATGTCTGTCTGAACCTTCATTTCAACGTTATTTTCAACCATACTTAGTATCAAAAATTTTATTTGTGGAGTGACATTTTCATGGGGTTAACACTCCTCTAGTTAAATCTAGTTTTAAGTGGGGAAAGGCTGCAGGCCATCAAAGCTGTGATTCATGAGTGGTCTAATGATTAATTCAAATGCTACATGTTATGGTCAATCACTTAGTATATAATTAGTGTATAATTAAAAGGCAAAAACTAATACACCTGCAGAGCCAGGCTTTGTCAATAATAATGATTCTTTGTGGACAGAGTCTCTGATTTCATTTTCACTGGCATTGCAGAAAACTAGTAAATAAAGGCAGGAGTCAGATGGCAAAAGGAGACATGGAAAGAGAACTAAGGGAAAACAGTGTGTGGGTGTAACACTGAATGTTCTTCTAGGGCAGCTTTGCCAGGGTGGCATTTTTACACTGTCTATTTTATTAGTTATTTTTCTGTTGCTGGGAATAAACACCATGACCAAGGAAACTTAGAGAAGGAAGAGTTTATTTGGCTTATGGTTCTAGATGGGTAAGAGTCCATCACGGTATGGATTTGGCTTATGGTTCTAGATGGGTAAGAGTCCATCATGGTATGGAGGCACAGCAGGAAGCAGCCAGAGCAGAAAGCTGAGTGCTCACATCTTCAAGCAGGCACAGGAAGCTGAGAGAGAGGAACTAGAAATAGGGAAAGGCTAAGAACTCTCAGTCTTCCCCACAATGACATGCTTCCTCCAGTAAGGTCACACCTAAACCTTCCAAATGGTACCACCAACTGGGGCCAAGTATTCAGACATTTGGTTGGAGCCTATGAGGGACAGTCTCACTCAAACCATCTCATTTTTCATACACACACACACACATACACACACACACATACACTATACGTATACATAATTCTTTGGCATTATGTGACTGAAGAATTTTAGGACATTAGACTACTCTATATAACATCACCTAAGTCTAACTATGTGGATTTGATTCCTGAATAATCATTCTGAAAGAGTACTCCAAGCTTACACATTCCCAAAGACAGTGTAACTTACTGTCTCACTGAGCAGCTATTCTCTCTTTGAATAGTGTAGTTCATAAAAAAAAAAGAAATTCTTCCCTTCATATAATCAAAAGCCTGCAATTCTTGAAGTTTCCCATAAGCATATCTGAAGGGATTATGAGGCAACATATTTTCCTAGGCTGGTTCTTTGGGTCCTGAAAAAAAATTTTCAAAATCTTCAGTGTTTATCAGGATTTCTACATTAGAGAACTGGCTACATTTCACACACACGCACACACACACACACACACACACACACACACACACAATGTTTGATGTTAAAAATCAATGATTTTTTTTCAATTTTAAAATCTAAAACAAATTTCTAAATTTTGTAATGAAAATAGTTTAGCCTTTTAAAAACCTGTTAGTGAATTTACAAGGAACCCAGCCCAGTTTTCCCTTCTTCAGGCACAAGTGCAATGATTGAGGTGCTCACATAGCTACCTCATTTAGACCTGTGTATCATCTTCAGTGGTTACGATTACAGACTACAATGTTATTTTTTCCCACCCATGCACAGGCCACCATAAAAGAGTCATTTGCCAACTTCCCTGTGCTTAGAGTCACTTGGAATGCTTGTTTAAAAGGTTGACCTGTGTTTAAGGCTGACCACTGGGACTGGATAACCTATCAGGGAGCTTATCCTTGGAGAGAATGAATTCTCCTTCCCACAGCATTCACTGATTGCCTGTAGCTCTTCATCTAGTGGTGGGACCCTGTGAAATTCCCCATTCACAGTGGTATGTCATCTGGTATTGTCATTATGCAATGGTTGTCTTGTTCAGGCAACCATATTGTGTTGATTTCATTGGTGTGGCTTCCCAGTAATGTCTTGAAGACACTATCTAGCAGCAGACAAAACACTTATACACATAAAAATTAATTAATTAATTGTTTTGGTCCTCCAGCTCTTACAATCATTTTGCCCCCTCTTCCATGATGTTCCCTGAGCGTTAGGAGGGGACTTGTCAGGCTCCACCCTAGAAATGCTGATTTCATAGCCTGAGGCCCAAGAATATTTACTGCTCACCATTGTTGGAAGTAATTCAAATGCAAGTGGTTTGCTGAACACATTTTGAGAAAAAAGTCCTTTGAATTAACATTGTGTCATGCAGGCAGTTCATTTGGTTTTGCTTCATTAGAAAAATAATTAATTTTTTTGTGTATGAGTGTTTTGTCTGCATGTATGTAAGTGCAACACATGCATGCAATGCCTGCAAGAGGCCAGAAGAAGGCATTTGATCACTTAGCACTGGAGCTACAGATGGTTATTAATCACCATGTGGGTTCTGGGAACCAAACTCAAGTTCTCTGCAAGAGCAGTCAGTGCTCTTAACTGCTGAGCCATCACTCTAGCCCCTCATTAGAAAATTTTAAAGGTGGTAAGATTTGGGCCTCTTTCCAAAATTACCAACTGAGAATGTTGAAACAAAACACTAGACTTTGATGTTTGGGGTTGATGGACGTATTTGCTGTGAAATTCACAAATTTTCCACTGTTTGTTTTCACAGTGATGGTCATTATACTGTAGGCCCAGCTGTGGTAGCTCCAGACCCATCAGTATCAATCTTGAAAGTAACATTCATGTCTTGATTCCCACTACCAATCTCCAACAGATAGAACTGAGTAGACTTGGATCTGATAGAGAATTACTTCCTCTGGTAAGAATAGGATGGGGAAGAATATGATGAGGGAGAGGAAGTTTGTGGGTGGGCAGGGAGAGTGGTCCTGTCTTCCCAGCTTAGCCGACCACCTCATTCTTATCGTCTCAGACACATGACCAGGCTCTGTAGTCATGCTGCATCGCTGTTTCACCTGCATTGCTGCTGCTGCCGAGTAACAACCAGGCTTGCTTATAGAGCTCTAGCGTTGCCAGGGCTCTCAATGCTCCTGCAACGTTCTGCAAGCTTGGATTGCTAAAGAGCATCTCATTTACACAGCTTTGTCTCTGGAAAGACTCTCATCATCTGCAAGTTCCCTGACAAGGCACCCACTTTTATCAGCCACTGCTGGGAATCATAGGATCAGACCAGATGCTAAGTTATTTCATTTTGATTGCAGCTTGTCTTTATTTAAATTTTGATATTTTGTTTATCATGGATTTTCTTTGGTATTTTGAAATTTTAAATTATTTCATTAAAATATTTTGTATTTTGATGATTGTTATTTAACACTCGCTTAAATATTGCTTTCTAGGTAAGTTTCTTATTCAACTCATCCTAGCCTGGGCTTTGATGATAAAGTCCTATAGTTGTTTATACTGTTATATATTTAAATATTTCACCCACAGAATGTAATCTTATTATCTTTAAAAGAATCAGTTTTCCCTGCTCAGCATGGAAGAAGCCAGAGAGGTCTGTGTCCCGATTCCCCATCGGCAATTTGGGTATCCTCTTCAGAGGACGGTGTGATAAGAATAGGAGGTAGGAATTGGCTAGGCAGTTCCCGTAAAAAGACTCCAAAGAAAAGTAGCCAGTTCCCAAAAGTATTTGGGAGCTTTTATCTAATCCCTAAAAGATTTTAGGGTTACCTCTTCAGAGGGGGGAATGTTAGAATAGCAAAAAGCCCCATAAAAAAGAAATAAATAAAAAGAAGGAAAGAATACATGAAATTGTCAGAAAAAAGTGACAGGGAGATACGGGAGAAGTTGGAGGGGATGGAATGGGCGTGGATTTGATCAAAACACCTTATATGCATGTATGAAGTTCTCAATAAATTCCAAAAACGATACTTAGAAAACCTACAAAAAAAAAAAAAAAAAGAATCAGTTGTTCCTTCTGACTTAAACATAAACTCTCTTTGGGAGTTTGGCAGTCATCTGCTCTAAAATTCCAAAATCTACAGATCAACCTAATACACAGATTCAGCATTTGGTGGCAAAATAGAATTGGAGTATACACCTTATCTCTTTCAAGAATATTAATTTCTTTAGTATGAATAGTATTGATATTTAGAGGCACAAATATCTATTACTTGATATCATCTATCAGTATTAAGCAAAAAGTTGGCAAAAAGGTTTTAAATGGTCTTCTATTCTGATCTTCCACTGTATAGAAGAAAACCATTAGAGCAGCATATTAAATATTGGTGGCTAAACCAGCTCATTAAGAGATGCTCTGCTAGGTGCTATGGGGCACAAGAAGATGAGGGGAACATTTTTTACAAACAGTGTTTACAACTTAGAAGCTGTTAATTACTTTGGCTGGAATAAATGGGATATTTCACCAAATGCGAAATAGTACATTAATTCATCAGCTTCCGTACCACTTTGAAGTATTTTGTACTGGCTCAACCTAAAGTTGAAACTTCATTAATTAATATTAACTGACGTAGTAAAGTAACACATAGGAAAATTTCTCAATTTTCCAAATCAATATACTTAATTGATGCTGTTTTCAGGTCATGGTTGTTGGTTCTGACAGTAGAAGAAAATAATTTTCAGCTACTCATGATAAAATATGAAATCATCTGAATTTGAATCATTCTGTAGTTATTTCCTAGGCAAATTTATTCACTATAATGTAGAAGGCAGTTTCTTTACTTGTGGTCTCACCGTTCATTTCTTCAAGTTCACTGTTGATTCCAACATCAATGGAATTCATTATTTTGTCAATCTGTGAATAACAAAGAACATGTAAGTAAATTATTATATTCACTTTTAATATCTTAAAAATAACTGTTAAATGCCACAATCACATGTTCTTGGTGTTATTACCACAGCAAGCTACAATTAAGAGACCAACAATGCACAATTTAAAAGGAAGCTAACATCTTTTGATACTTTTAAAACTATATAAAAATTATGAGCTTACCTATTTTTAATACATAGATGAGTCAGTGAGTTTGGAAATATGAACTCTTTAAACTCGGAAGAACTGAGGATAAATTCAGTGTAAAGTCCATGTTCTTTGACATCCTTTCTCTTCTAGAAGTTATGTACTCTGACTGGGAAGGTCGGATTTCAGTTTCTGGACATGGCTATTGGAGTCAACTTCTAAGTCAATGGTTTGGGAAGCCTCAAGGCAATTTGAAGCATTGATTACAAAAATATAGGCAGGGAAATACAATATAATCTAAATATATCAAATTATCCCAGAAAAAGGATTGTAAAAGGGACTTCAGGAACTAAAAATCACACAAAAAAATGGATATACTAAAAAATTATCCCTATGTAGGTTTGGAATTTAGGTATGACTGTCTAAGGTCTAGCCATCTAGGGTTTAAAAATCTCCCTCCTCCTCACGTTGGCAGCCTGAGTAAGATGGCAATTTTCTAAAGAACAATGAACATTACTCAACTGACTCATAGTTTTTTAGTGTGAAGGTGATGCAGAGACATCAAGTGATTTTCCCAAATGGCTCAATTCAGAAATCTCATTCTCAGAATACCATAGTGACCTAATGTGCTTCAAAACCTAATCCAACTGGCATAGTCTTTTGAGAGACAGAAATCTGTCAGGTTAGAATGAAATATGAATAGAGGCTATGATCCATTCTTTAAAGAAATTCAAGAGAAAGCAAAGAGCATTATTGTTTTATGATATAATTCTCTTTAGGGAGAAAAGACATTACATAGCCTTACAAGGGCACTTCACTTTCTGAACAATTCTTTCAGATAAAAGGCTTTGTCTTTAAGTGAAGCTTAAAGTAGTGATACTTGACCCTGAAACATTTTTTTTCCTTTAATGTGTCTCTGATAGCAATAAAAGGGAAATATTAAATGATGTGTGTTTGTTGCACAGTTCTTGAAGAAGAGTCAGGACTGCTGGATTTACCATTAAGGTTAAGACTATAAAAAGCTATCTGAAACTATGAGACATTTCAAAGATGGAAGACAAGCTAACAAAGAGTTTAGCAAGTAGCAAAACAGAGCGAAATAGCAAGATTTTTCTCAAACTGTCAACTGCAGTGCTGGGTAGGACATGATGTGAGCGTTCTCCTGTACCTCATAGCTAGTTATTACTTCTGCTTGACATCCATTTCTATGGAAACAAAGTTTCTCCCACGTGTGTAGAACTGTGTTTGCTTTTCCACTTGCTGTGAAATTACCATGTATCACCCACAGAACCTTTCCCCTCCAATTGGAGCTACCTGCATTTAAGAAGCTTCAGCTCCTTAGAGACTTGAAAAGCTGAAAAATCTTTCCTTTAAGGCTCCCTCAACTCCAAAGCCTATATGAAGACTACCAAGAAAAGCCAGGCTTACCTCCTCCCATTCCGATGTGAACGATGGTGTTCTTTCAGAATTCTCTTTAGAACTACGTTCAGCAGTTGAGGATTCACTCCAATTAACTCTTGATGCTTTCTCCTTTGAAGGGTAGGCGATGAGATCAGAGTCGGATTTAGAGACAGTTTTGGACAAATGCATGTCGAGCAGGGCTTTAGGCAATGACCTTATTCTCCCCAGAGTACATGCTCTTTCCACAAATCCCCCTGTATTCACAACCCACTGGTCCCCATTCCGGGATCCGCTCCTGGATGTTCTTGTGCCAACAATGGTATGGTTCTCAAGCTGGTTGCTTCTTTTGTGAAAAATTGTTCTACTGACCACTTTGGGTTTAACTTTCTTTACTGAAGGCTCTGAGTTATTTTCTATTGGAGTCTGCTTGAAAGGCAAAGGACTGTTTGCCAAAGTGACTTCATCTTGTCTTTCTTCACATTGATCTCTTTTCCCATAGAGATGAAATGGATTTTCAGGGGACTCACAGGCTGGAGAAGAACCATGAAGAAGGCCTGCAAATTGCCCAGGATCGTACTCTTTGGGGGGATCATTGTCTTCCTGTTGAGAGTGGTCATCTGCAAAGAGAAGGAAGGATGTCAGGATAATTGTTTATAAATGACTCTGAAAGTCATGAAACAATAGCAATGCCTTTATGAACCTGTGCCAGACATTTGATTTACTGATACTTTGAAATACCTTCACCTTATGAAATACCCATGACTCAATATTGCTGCATATAAAATGAACCTGTGAGTGCATGTGCATGCTCGAATGTCTGTGCGTGTGAATTAAATCTTCCTGTCACAACTTAGGGTTTATTTCAAACATATGAAGTGAGTATTGAGTGACTATATGCTCTTCTTTCTTGTCACTAGAGTACATGTTTGATGTTGAATAAAAAAAATAGGTTTCTTGAAGCAGGACAACCACATTCAGAGCAGGCAGGCATTAGATAATAATGATAAATCCCTGACCTCCTCTCATCAAACAAATTAAAAACAAAATCCAGAAAAGAAGGATAATTACACATAATTTAAAATTAATAATCCTGATAGTATTACTTCAAATATAAAATAAAGAGTAATTCTTTACAGATTGTATGGTTTAAAGAGAAGATTTTCTCAGACTTAACAGAGGCAAGAAACACATTTCTAATATCACTTAGAAGAAAAGCTATAGGAAACCAATATTAAGCTATCACACAGTTTTCTCCTTCTTCTCTGAAATAACATATCTTCTGATTTCTTTAGATCTTCTAAAGTATTATGTAGAAAAGGAATCAAAGAATGACTTACTGTTTTAGAAATGTTTCTAAAATAAAACATTTTCTCTGAGATTTAAAATACATTATCCTTTTATGACTTAATTTGTCATTTAAAGAGATACTGAATAAAAACTGCTCTTGACCAAACCTGCTCTTGGTTAACCACTAGAACTGGAAGGTAAGACCCTATTGCTGAAAACATGAGCTGTAGAACAAACAAGGAGAAGTAAAACTGGTGTTGATTTCACAGCCTCATCTCTACTAGCTTGTGCTTATAGTTCTGGAAGGTGCTATGTATGCTACAGGAAGGAAAAATAATAATCAGCCTTACCCAGCTGTGAATCCTGCGAACTACTATAACAGCTAGCCTGGCAAGATATGCCCATTGGTACAATAGTGACACAAATATTAGGAGAGTAACCAACCACTCTTTAATTGAATTTAAGGTTCACTTCATGGGACGGAGCCCATACCTGATATTGATATCAGGCTTAGGAACCTGAGACTAAACAGGTCACAGGAGATGAGAGAACCTAATACTAATTTTCTACTAAGTAGATATATTAAACTCTTAGTGATTTATTGTTATACCCATAGACTAATGCATCTCTCAACTCTCACCAGAGAAGTTTCCTTATTTAACAGATAGTGACTAATACAAAAATCTACAACTGGCCAACATGCAGAGAACAAGAGGCTGCAGAGTGCTTACCCCTGAATAGGACACCTATATAAAACTTGTACTCCACCCCAAAGGCTCAGGGATCATGTGGAAGAGGGGGCAGAAAGACTGTAAGAGTCAGAGGTGGTGGTTAATCACAAGGAAACAGTTTTCCAGACAATTGGCCAGTTACTCATGGAAACTCAACAGCATGCGCAAGTGCTATGCAAGCTCAAACCAGAGAAATCCCAGCATAGACATGAGGACGTGGGTAAGAAATCCCAACCCTATCTAAGGAACTTTTGGAAACTGATGGCTGATGGGAGACAGGGTAGGAGGGGCAGAGACAGTCTCTTTTAAGCATGGGATTCCTGGTAGGTTAACCAGGCTCCAGTGGATGGACCTACACTGAAGGATATTTGGAAACACAAATTAGATTCTATAGGCCATGTTATACATATAATAGAGTATATTAAATTGGGTGGGGACAGTAAAGGGAGGTGTAGATAGGGGAGAGGGATCTGAATACACAATCAAATTTTATTGTATGAAAATTGAAAAAATTCAATTAAAACAGATGAATTAAAAAAAAACCCTGGCCAAAGAACTTAGCAGTTCGCTTATTTTTCAGTAGTCATTTTAATTCATAGAGATAGCTAAAGATTTGCAAAGATCAAAGTTATACTATAATAATCCTATAATCTAGTCTTGTGAGGGCAGATACAGTCAATATGGAACAAAATGACACAAACCTGAAGCCTACTTACAGATTTACACTTTTATGAAGTTAGTTATTATTACAAGCCTCGAACTGCCAAGAGTTTCTGAATTAACAGGTAATATTTAATGGGTAAAGTGCACAAACCTGAAGCCTACTTACAGATTTACACTTTTATGAAGTTAGTTATTATTACAAGCCTCAAACTGCCAAGAGTTTCTTAATTAACAGGTAATATTTAATGGGTACAGTAATACCTGAAATCAAATCCTGAATCAATTACTCTAAAGTCCAGCCTTGGCAGACAAAAGAAAAATGAGGAGGAACCCAATAGAGGGATGCTTTCAGAAGCCCTAGTCAAGAAATTCCAATGAACTCTCATATGAACACTTGAAATTTGCCCTGTTCTAACTTTTTTCTAGCTCTCTGGATAGAATTTATAATGCTAATTACTCTTGCCTTTACTTCTCCTTCACATCTCCTAGTCACAATTCAAGGACTTTCTTTTCTCCTTTGAGATAAGAGTTATGCAATTTGGAAGTCTTTTAGATAGGCCCACTGAAGGGGTACCTCATCCCTGTTCAGCATGGAAGAAGCCAGAGCAGTCTGTGTCCCAATTCCCTATTGGCAATTTGGGTAACCCCTTCAGAGGATGGTGTGATAAGACTAGGAGGTAGAAATTGGCTAGGCAGTTAGGGTAAAAAGACCCCAAAGAAAAGTAGCCAGTTTCTTGGCTAAAAGTCACAATGTCCTTGGGACTGTTAGCAACATGCCCATATTTTTAAAAGTCAAAATTAGCAGTCAACCTAGGTTGCTTAAGTTTCTCTGTTAGTAAGCAGTTAAGCTGACTCAACCTAAGGCCTAGCTGATTCCAACGTCTGCTGGCTGGGATGTATATTACTACTTGGATACAAGAGCCATTTAGCCTTGGCTTACCAAGAATACAGGCAAGGAGGTTTATTCTGGAAATGGTTATGTTTTTCCATCTTCATGACTATTTTTGGAGTTTGAAGAGAATGAAGTAAGAGAATTAGAGTTTTGTTTGGTGTATGTTTCTTTTTACAGATAAGCTAATGCCAGGATGACATAAGATCTGGTAATCTCTTCCAATCTATTATTGCCCTAGGTGACTTGGACCTTTCCACTGCATTCTACAGCATAAGCAGGTTGGTACTGAATTACAGTCATGGTGACTGATTGGAAAAAAAAAAAAAAAGAATTAGGACACTAGGATGTTTGAAGGGGGCTTGAGAGATGGCTCAGCAGTTAAGAGCATTGGCTGCTCTTGCAGAGGACCCAGGTTAGATTCCCAGCACCCACATGTCAATAAACCGTAACTTCAGTTCTAGGGGATCCGACGCCTTCTTCTGACCCCTCTGGGCATCCATGGCACAGGTGCACTTACATCCATGCAGGCAATAAACTCATGCACAAAGAATTTGAAAAATATATTTAAAAAGAATTTCATTTTGAAAATTGCTGATAAGGCTGAAGTGATTTAGTTTGGAAGGAAAACTGAAAAGAGTATGAAAAGCCCTATTGTCAGAAAGATTCTGCAAAAATCTGTCAAAAGGGTTTCTGATCATGTTTGTTATCTAGAAAAATGGGAATTCTGGGTTAACTAGATTGTTTAAAGTTTTCTGTGAGTAATAGTATGAGGCTGCCATAACCTCAGTTTTTCGACTAAAGGACCATACTTACAAATCCAAATGCTTTATTTGTTCAAGCCCTCTTATCACAGGCAGCTATATCCTTAAGTAAAGAGGGAATTTAGTTCTTAGCTTGTAAGCTTAGTCTTTTGAATAACAGTCCTTAGCATTATAACAATTGGAAACACTTTTGCCAAAAATTGTAAATATTACTTGCTTATTTCAGTGGTCAAATTCTAAAGATTACTCAAATCAAAGAAAATGAGAAGTTGGTGTGAAACCTGAAAAGTTTGTGTGGCAGACTGATTGCAATCCACCAGTCTGCTCAGGGCTCCTGTAGCCACACCTCTCTCTATAGTTACACCACCTGCTCCCTGCATTCAGTCCTTGTCTGTGACTTCTAGTGGGGCCAAGTGCTTTGTATTAGTCAATGAGACAGGAGCAAACATTATGTAAAGTGTCTGAAAATCACTTCTGTATTTAACCCACTGCTCTTGCTCTTACCATGTAAGCCAGACTGAACTATTAACAATGAAACGTTTTTCCAGTTGTTTTAAAATGCAGAGTTTTTTTTTGTTGTTGTTGTTGTTATTTGTTTGTTTTTTTCTTTTGTTGGTTTTAGGAATGCTGGAGTCATTAAATCAGGAAATGGTGGTCATTGAAGAAAATAGACTTATATTCAAAGATCCAAGAAGAAAGGCATACCTCACTCTCAGGGGTTATAGGAAAGTACACAGGGGGCAGACAAAAGAGGGAAAGATTGTGGGCCTTTGTGGGAAGGAACAAGTGAAACAGAGAGAAATAGGTTTAGGATTGGCTGGTCTGAGTAAGTTCAGCAGGTTCTGGGCATAAGGACTTTCCATGACTACACTGGTACCCGACCTCAGGTAATTAGAAAAGAGGAACAGTAGCCTGGAGTATAAAAACCTGATAAAAGAGGTGGTTAGGGTGTGGGCTCTGGAACAGTAGGTTTGAAAATGAAAAGCATGTTCATGGAGAGTTATTTACGAGGCATTGGCTGGCTCTGGGAAGGGTAATCCCCTCAGGATCAGCAATGCCTCAAGATGTTAGAACATCAAAATCTAAACAAAAAGACACGGTTAATGCCTGTGCCATTAGAGCCAACTATTGCACATGTCAGTGAGATGATCCTAACCTCAGTAACTAACCCTGCCTAGATCTAACTAACCTTAGATCTAGAGGCTGAGAAGTCCAAGTTCAAGGCCCCAGCAGATTCAGTGTCTGCTGAGAGTCTCCTCTTTCTGGCTGAGAGACAGCACCAT